GAGGAAATTCTGTCTTTTTTAAAGACAAAAATTTTTGAGGCAAAATACCCAAAAAGAAGTTTGTAAAAAAATGAATCCGCCTCAACAATATAGAAGTTATCTAAAAATTAACCAGAAATTCATCAATAACCTGTATCGTCCTCGTCATCAAGTATGTATGTCCACTACCTGTTTAGTCGGGTTGATGTAGTCGAGTGTTTAACCTGCACACTAGATAGAGCTAATGGAAGTAACCACACTAACACAGCATGCCGCTTTAAACATACACTGAATGGTTGCACGGCTATGATTTGTTTAGAGTGTTTAGTGCCTGCTGCCCCTGCACGCCAATGGATTGTAGATTTTTTGTACAGTACTTTGTCTACGTTTTGAGGGGATACAGAGTAGCGCGCCCTAGATTTTTCAGTTGAAGATTCAGAAGAATTCTACTGGTCGTTGCTGAAAAGTTTCAATCCTTGCCTCTGATACTGATTAAAGTCTTGAAAGTTTGAAAGAGCCCCTGGGGGGCTCCGCGACATTTTTACGACTCTGAAGGCGATCAAAAAGAAATGAAATAGAAACCGTGTTCCGTTGCCGTTTTTAGGTTGGCAAAGTGTTCCATTATCGGATCCATGTTCTAAGGGTCCGCCTGAGAGCAAAGTGCTGCTCAAAGTATCAATATTTGAGTTTAAAAAGAAGTTGGACCTTGGAATCAATTCAAATTTCAGCTATTTATTCTTTGATTAGTCTTTTATAAGCCGTCGACATTTTAGAGTTGCAACTTTTATACTTTGAGAGTTGTGGATTTTTACGACAACCGATACATGCGTCGGACTCTTTTTTAAACTTAGCAGAAAGTGTAGACATTTTAAAGAAGTTCTAGCAAAATGAGTGCGCCAACTTGAGCGAAAATTTCAACATTTCTCCACTTCGATTTTCTAATAATATCCAAAATTGTGGTCTTTATTTGAGTTCGCCAGCTGCAAAATTTTAGGAGTGAAGCAYGTTTTGAAAATTTCTAGAAAAYCACATATGGCTCMRAATCGATTACAGTTTTGCACATTTATAAACYAGAGMGTTTGTAAATKTTGCGAGTAAGTTGCTCTATAWATGYAGAAAATTTCYGATCGGTATCTGCGGAGGTTTGTGAGTTCTGGATTTTTGGAGACTTTGGTGCRTAATTTGGAAATATTTTCAAATAGMAGATYARTWGTWYGCYTWCTWSAACGTCWAATAKTTTGCACSTAAGSTTTGAYTTATATWWTGTWAATAATTTMAGTACTKYAAACCTTCAGGTTTGTGAAATCTGTACTTTTARAGTCAGGGGMGCACGATTCATCCATGTTTTMAAAAATCAGATATTTAAACATTTCTAGAAAATCAACTAGAACTCCAAATTGATTKGAAYTTTGTCCATGTCTTACATGAATCGTMTGCTACCAACGTGYAAAATTGTATGTCTGCAGCTGTTGACGCTTGCCAGTTATATAATTTTGAGTAAAGCCTGATTGRGACATATTTAACACAAACGTAATTATTTARAWTTTTTTTTARTTCGTTAAGGGTTCAAAGTGATTGAGATTGTAAACGTTTATTTACCACAARCTGCTCTATAAATGTRTRAAATCTCAATTTTTTGTCTGCTTGATTGTGTGAGWTMGAGTGTTTYAAAACAGCGGTTCAGGATATAAAAATCAAATATTTTCAAATTTTCTCGAAACTCAATAGSGGCTTCTAAKGGATTGAAAGTCTATTGCTTTCTCACCAAAGCCTTTATCTACAAAATGGGCAAATTTAAATTCCGTGTCTTTAGAGGGTTGACAAATTGGCATTTTTAGAAACCGTGGTGCTGGATTTAATCATGTTTTAAAATTGAAAATATTCCGAAAATATCCAGAGTATCAATTGAGGCACCGAAGTAATTTAAACTGTGCACATTTTTCCACCGAGATCCACTCTCTAAAAGTGCAAAATTTGAGGTCTGCAACTGTTGACTGGTATGAGGTGGGAATGACTAGATAGAGTGGTTGATGAGTGGAACCAGGATTAAAATATTAGAACAATGAACATTTTTAGAGACTCAGTGAGACCTCGATTTGCTTCAAATTATCTACATTTTGAAGCTCAGTTTTGCTTGATCAATCTTGAAAATTTCAACTTTGCATCTGCTCCTGCAAATTGAAGTTAAGAGTTTTTAGCAACAGTTTGCATGATTGTGACCCGTTTTTACATAGCAAACAGTTCTAGAAATCCTAGCTACTGTAGCTAGCAAATATTTGAACATTTAACGTCTTTACACGGCACTTGTTTCTAAAGATGTTAAAACTCTCATACCAATCCTTCTGAACTCTGAGTTTTGACAGCTTAGTGAATAGTCTCAAAACGGATGATTTCACTCTTATGCSCTYTTTTTGCAAAAAATYCGCATCTTTTAGTTTAGGGCCAGTAGCAATCTGAAATTCTTAGCATCTTTAAAAGATATTTGACGATGAAGTTGCTGGAAGTCTTCTTAAATCGCCTTAAATCTTGAGTTTTGCCAGCTTAGTAAATATTAGTCTCAAAATGGAGTTTTCTGTCGATTGCGCTGTCTCATTTAAAAATTGTCCGCTACCAAACTGTACCAAGAAGAAGTTCGAAATTTTCACCGTTTTTAGAACACACATGATGATTCATTGGCAGACGATTGAAACAAACATTGATTGTTGCTTGCAGTTTTTCTATATTAACTAATACAATGATTGGCCCCCCTTAAGGGGCAAACCCTGCACATTTAACGCCAGCAAAAGCATCTAAAAGCGCCTAAAACCCAATGAAAAAAGCATAAGTAATCCTTTAATTCTATTAAAACCGTAACAGGATCTTCTAACTGCATCCATCCTAATATACAGGGTGTTACAAATCTAGGGTGCCTTACTCTGTGTGGTCCGTTGTTATTGCTGTTGAAACGCAAGAAAACGTGGATTTTTTGTCGGAAAAACTTGTCTTTAACAGCAATAATGGCTTAAGGGACGCAATCGCTTAACAGCTGATTTTTTGCCAGTTAATCGTATACTTCGGTCACTGTTTAACCATCGTGGCTACATTCCAGAGAACTACCGGAAGGCTCCCAGCAGGCAGTGAAAGTGTTGTGCCGTCCTGGAACAGTTTTATAAGTATGTGCCGTCTTTCATTTCCATTTCCTATTATTTAACCATTAGTATGTAAGTCTGTGTGTGCAAGACTGCGAATCCAGGCCAGGGCTGGACATGTTCAAGCTCCAGCCTTGGGTCTGGATGCTAATCATCCAGGCTTTGATCCTTTTTGCAAACTTTTTGCCCATGCGATTGATTTAATGGGGGTTTTTTCTGTAAATTTAGGTGTTTACCATGATTCATCCTCAGACGACTCATCACTAGATCCCAACCACCTAAAAAGCGATGATCATGGCCTACGTTCATCATGTTTAGTAATCTCCACACTAGTGACGACTCTAGTGCTCAGATGGCTCACTAGTGTGCCGTAAAACGCACAGTATTTAGTTCGTTTTATAAACGAAAGCCACTTCGACTGAGAGACTCAAACTGCACTGAACAGGGTGTGGATCGTGATAACGTTACGTTTTTCCCGATGTGATGGTGTTTTTTTTGGAAGACTTTCTTAATCCTCTAGAGATTAGTTTAAGTATTTAAGCAGCTTCAATTGGAACGAATGAGTGTGTGAGGTTTGGAACCAGGCAGCAACAATCTCATTGCAATCGCATGCTATACGTAATGTTCTACTGCCTCCCAGTATTTATACTTTTCTTATCTCTAATACGAGAAACCAAAAATGGTTGTGGCTTTTTAATGCTACGACAATGCGAAGGACCAAAAGTACTATTACGATGGCTAGATCTAGGTACTCATTATTGATTGCCAGCTACTCTTAAGCGTAGGATATTTTGTACAGAAACAATTAGTAATATATTAATTTTATAGTATTTTTCTTTTAATTTCCTTCAGGTGTTTGAGGCCAAACTGGTCAATTATACAGGGTGGTCCTAGATTAATTAAATCTCGGCCATTCTTGAGGGAGCTCAATTTAGTGGACGATTGCTTGCAGTCCTGTTACATTTCCAGCACTCATTTTAGCATTTTCTCAACGTTTTTCCCTAATTTTTCTAAAGTCCAGGATGCAGCTAAAAGGAAACAGCAATTTTCCCAAACTGACCTGTTTGCGTTGTTTAAATTCTTGTTGCTGCATGATAAAAACGATAATTTTACCTGCTTAAG